GCAAAGTTATAATTCAGCTGCATTTAATGGTAACAATTACCCACTTCCTTACTTATATTTTTTTCTGCAATTTCAATATATTACATTTTGTCTCAGCATTTTACATGCATTTTAAATTAGTGTATGAAAGGAGAATTTTTGAATCTTTAAAGCAATATTACAATAATTGTACAAGTGGATTGAAATTAAATCTAGAGCCTTCTTTTTTCCTGCTGCACGAAGTACAGCAGTAAAATAATCAAATAGACTTAAATGCAGAACTTTAACTGATAACTATATTATCTGGAAATTGGTCGAAATTCCACTTTATGCTCCCAATCTCACCTTAGAAATAACACATTGCAACCAATTTTAATCAGGTTTCTACCAAGAAAGAATGAATAAAAATGAATTTTAGCTTTCTTACATTTTTGTTCTATACTAATTATTCACATTATTGTGTTTTAGATGCCAAAATGGAGTCCTGTAGCTTCGTGGTTGGAGCATTCGCTTCGCAGGCGAGAGGACCTGGATTCGATTCCCGGGAGGGCAAAACCCTGGACAAGTTTCCTTACTCTACACGCCTCTGTTCACCTAGCATTAAGTAAGAACCCGGTTGTTAGCAGATTGCTTTTCCAGGGATAATAAACCCTTTAATTTAAAAAAAAAATTTGATCACTCAATCCATGGCTATGTGCAATTGGCTGCCGCTTTTCACCACAAAATAAACAGTCAATTCACTTTATAGTATATTCTGTGAAGTGCTTCTTTGAAGCTCAAAGGCATGATAAGGCACTATATCAAATGCAAGAATTATTATTATTTAATGCATCTTACACTAGCTAAATATATTCTGGGTCCACATTTCTTATTTCATGCTGGGTGGGGATGCCCTCTGGCAGTGTCATCATCAGGGAGAATTATTAGCCTCGGTTTACATTAATGCGGAAATTAAAACACAGTTTACATCACAAGGTACTTTTTCTGGCACTGAGGTGCTAGAAATGCTACCACTGTTCTGAGGAATGCTTTTTCAACCCCATTACTTTAAAATGTATTCTCAGCACAGTGTTTTGCTGAACTCAGTTCTCTGATATAGTTGATCCAATTTTACTTTTGACATAATTGTTCAATTGCAATTTTACAAAACAATAAGCAATTCCTGACTTACAGGTTCATATTCTAAGTACTACAAGGATAGCAATTTAGAACTGCATCCTTAGTTCAAGTGTTCTCCTTTCCCACTTCCTTTCATGCTTGAATATTTTTTAGCAATTTGGATAGGACCTGGGTTATGAAGTGTTAAAAAATAGTCAACACATGTTATTTCCTCAGAATCATTGTTACCCTTTACAAAGAAAGCCTCTACGACTTTCACGCTTATTTTTGCTACAGAATAAGTTTGTGCTATTTTACTGTTTGAAGACCATTACAGTCCCTATATCAAATGCAAGGACTATATAATTTTGGTAGAGTCCACACACTCATTTTTCAATTTCTCCCTCTACTGTCAACAAAAGTAGGGTCAAAACATATAAATTGTGCATCAATAGTCTATTTTCTAAGAACTTACACTGTTAGAAAAAAATTATATCCTGAAAATTCTCAGCGAAACACCAAAATAACTCCTATCATTCAAAAATGTCATTTGGTATTGCCATCCAATCCCACTCTTCCACTGAGTTATAAAGTCAGCCATCTGTAAGTTTTCACACTTACACAAGGTGAAGAGTTGAACAGTCCCAGTCCCCAACTTTTAAACCATTCAAAATCTTAAAAGACTTAAGTAATAGTGAAGCTTTTAAAGAAAATCTCCCTGTCTCTCTCGCTCCGCGCCTCTGTCAAAAATAATCCTCTCTCTATTAAAAAAAATCTCTATGGCACCCGCCCAAAACATTCTCTCCCTCTTACCTGTACTCCATTCTTCCGCCTCCTCATTGTCACTCTCTCTCCCTCATCCACACGGGGAAACCCGATGAGGAACACATGTTGGGCAACCAGGAATTTGGGCAAATAAAAAACATGAGTTCAACGGATTCTATTTCTCTGTACACATCTAATGTCACCTGCAATGTTCTGTTGTGACACTCGAACCATTGTGGTATCTGGCAGGTTGGCGTCTGTGATTGGTGCCAAAGCAACAAAAGCTGATTTTTTGTTACTTTTGTCAACGTGTTCCAGACTAGAATGTGAGAGAGCAATATGTGTCCAATCCCTAGCAGGCTAGTAAAAGGGAACGAATGGTGAATTTTCTATCAATATGGTGTCAAATCCTGCTGATTCAGTAGGAAGAGATACAGGTTTTGGCAGATAAACAATGGTACAGCCTTGACTTTCGTTTCCCGTAAAGCTGAACTCCATGTCAACCGAAGAATAGAATAGACTTGAGCACAAATTTCTAAGTTGTAACTACAGGCAGGAGTACATTTCATAATAATAATCTTTGCATCAGCGGGCTCCAGCCTACTTCACGTCCCCCGCCTTGCTCGCCCCATTATCGGCAAGCGGACCTTCCGCCACTCTGCCCTCACCCTCTGGAACTCCATCCCGCAGTTCCTTTGCCTCGCCCTCTCCCTCGCCACCTTCAAGACCCACCGCAACACCCTCCTCTTCGACAGTGCTTTCGATCGCCCTGCTTCGCCCCCTGCCCTCCACCCACCCCGATCCGTAACTCTGTGCAATGCCTTGGGACATCCTCCCGATGTAAAAGGCGCTTTACAAATATAAGTTTGTTGTGGTTGTTGCTTTAGCGCCTTATCATGGCATTAAGATGTCTCAAAGCATTTCACAGAATATACTGCAAAGCGACTTGACTATATATTTTCTGGGCAAAACGTGCAGCCAATTGCGCACAGCAGTGTCCCACAAACAGTCATGGATTGAGTGAACATATTATTATTTTTTTTTGAAGGGATTATTACCCCTGGAAAGTGATCTGCCAGTCGACTAACAACTGGGTTCCTACTTACTGCTAGGTAAACAGATGTGTGTGAAGTAAAGAAACTTGCCTAAGAGTTTGACTACCCGGGAATTGGACTTTAGTGCTCTAACCAATACGCTACAAGACTCCACCTTGATGCAGTGCAGTTTGATCACCTGCACTGTTCATTCATTCAAATAAAGCAGATCACTATACAGATGGCTTCATGAAATGTAAAGCAGACATTGGATTAAATCTATGAAATAAGTTTATTTAAATCCTCCACAGTTAACTGGTTCCTTCATCTATCTCAAAACCACCTTCGTTAGCTCCCTTCTCAAAAAAAACTGCACTAGACCCCACCCAACTCTCTTGTTACATCTCCAATCTGTCCTTCCTCTCCAAGGTACTGAAATGAGTTGTTGCCTCCTGATTATGTTTCTTTCTCCCCCATAATTCCTTGTATGAGACCCTCCAATTTGGCTTCCACTCCATTCACTGTACAGAGACAACTGTTAGTCAAAGCCAATAATAACATTTGTTTATGTTTGTGGCAGGGGCTCCCTATGGCTCCTCCTCAACCTCTCTGTCACATTTAATACTGTTAACCACTCCACTATTTCTTCTCCCTGATTCAACTCTAAACATTCCTGATTTCACTCCAACGTGTCTCAGTATCTCAACTTTGTCTCATCGGTTTCTCCTCCTGCCTCTACACAAACATGTACAGGCTTCTCCAGGGATCTATCCTCAGTCCTCTCCTTTTCATAGTCTGTACAAATGTAATTTTGTATTATACATGCTGCCTCTTGGTGACATAATTTGTAAGCAAGGAGCCTACTTCTAAATGTAGAGGGATGACACTCAACTCTATCTTTCTGCCTCCGCCCTCAACTCCAGACCACTGATGTTCTGACAGACTGCCTGACATCAATTTCTGAATGAGCTGTACCTTCTTCCAACTCAAAGTCGGCAAGCCTGAGGCTATGTTGAACTGTTCCCTCATTGCCTCCTCACCTCAGGCGCTGACTGTATCAATCTTTACATATTGTTTGCACAAGAGCATAATTTACACATGATATACACAACAAAACTTATACAGCATCATTAACGTAGGAAAATGTCTCAAAGTATCTTTCAAAGACCAAGTAGGAAGAAAATATGGGGAGTAAGGGAGGCGGGGGGAATCAAAGGTACAGTCAAAGAGATTTTTAAACGGGTTTTAAAAAGCAAAGGGAGATAGAGGGATTTGGGAAGAGATTTCAGAAGGACAGGATAAAGTGGCTATAAACTCGGCGTCAATGGGAAACTTGACTGGCCAGAGGATCTGATGCAGGTCAGAGTTGCGGGTGGGGGCGGAGTAGGATGATAGCAGATTGCGGAGAACAGATGAGGCAAGCCTTGAGGGATTTGAAGGTAAGGACGAGGATCTTAAAGGCAATCTTAAAGTCAATCCACTGGGCGATAGGGAACCAAAATGTGATTCACACAATGTAAAATGCTTCTTACCTTTCCTGGAGTTTCTTCAAATAGGTGAGGAGCTAACAGACCAGGATTCAAACCAGAACTTTCTGCGAGTAAGGTGCAAAACCAACTGAGCTACCCAGGAGGTTGGTATGAATGGAATGAACACATGATACAAAATGCTGAATATGCCTAATTTTCTATAACCAGAAGGTTGTTTAACTCACAAGAAACAAAGTCACTTATGACTGACAAACACCTTCTTGTCAGTCAATGATGGGCTAAAAACGGTTAGATATTCCACTGTTCTCACAGCATATTCTTGTAATGTTCAGCACTGACCATTTCCAGCATGTGCATTTTTACCATTTTAGTTTCTAGAAAACACTAGTGTGCAGTAGTTGCAATAATTGCAAAAAAAAACTGAATACACTACACAAAAGTTATTTCAGAATTGTAATTGAAATAGGAATTTAAACAATTGCTCTGGGTTTATAGTATTTACCTTTTAGCAATACTGTAACTTCAAATTATACCCACAATTTTAAATGGGGATAGCAGTAGTTGCTTTGATCAACAATTAAATATTTTACTGTGAAAGGTTAACCACCTGAATGTAGTGCTTTCCAGCACTTACCTGCTGTTGCTCGTGCAGTTTGCTCTGATGCCATCGCTCTCGCCTCCGCTGTTTTCTTTTTAAACTCTTAAGCCTGTTTCTTTCTCTTTTACTCAATATTCTTTCATCTAGAGGTGAGCGCAAAGAAAGACATGGTATTGAATCACTACGAGGGTTGCCTGTAGCTCCATCTCGTCCTTCTTCCTCCTGCTCTGTCATGTCATTTTCTTCAGTACTTGTATCAAGTGACCAACCTCTAATCCTGGCAGAAACATTGTTGGAATGTCTTTGCACCGATGGCCCGGGACCTAACTCTTGTCCTTCTGCTATGAAACCATTACCAAATGACGGAAGATGTGATGATAAATCAACTTCCAGATTATGTTGGTTTTCAGAAACAAAAACATTGGGTTCTTCATTGACAGGTAACTGCAAATTAACAGCTTCTACCAATGGTGCCTGTCTAGGACTGGCAATCTCATTTATTTGTTGCATTGTAATTCCACAAGATGAAGTTCGTGAACGCAATCCATGAACACCAGGGAAACTAATGGCTGCATCCTTTGAATCTTGGCTGCTAAAATCCAGACTGTGAGACTTTCTGTGAAAAGCTTTCATTGTACATCTGGCCCTCACTGGCTGTGAAGCAGAGGAGCACGGCTGCGGATTAGCAGCTTTGAAGTGCAATTCGTTGCTGTCAGCTTCTAGAACTCCTCTACGGTGTGATCTTGTCTCGAGGCAAAGTGCATCTGTTACTCTTCCAAGTTCCATCTTCTTCACCTGGTGTAAAAGTTCATTTTGTCTGTAGTGAGTCAAGCTGTTTTCTTCCCCATTTTCCATGTTCTCCACAGTTGGCAATTTATAAATATGTTCCACTTTCTGCGGGAATTTCACCTTTGTAGACTTCCCAATTCTGATTAAGTGGGGTGGTTCATAGTCAGTACGGCTCTTGCAGACATGTACAGTCACTTTCTGTCCACAGGGGCATGTGGCACTGCTGACAAAGTTAAACCCCCCTAAACGAGCTCCACAATGGAAGCAGTGCAGCTTCCCGATTGTCCACTGTCCCTATGGAAAAGAAATAGACAACAATCTGTTCATTGTAAAAAAATAAAAAAGCGGGAAAATGGCCACATCAACTCTTTCATTCAATTCATGAGGTCAGCTTTTTCTTTTCTATGTTTTGTAGAAACTAGTACAGTACAGAAAAGCCCACAGAACAGTGAGACAGAGGCACCTGATTTAGCAGATTGTGCTGTTTTATAGTATATCAATTCAATAGACTTTAAAAATATATAGGCACTAATGATAGAGTGCGAAATGCGAATCATATGGTGGTGCTTGAAAATTCCACATTTTTTACGCCAGTTAAGTGAAAAAAATGCAATACACAAAGCCACCTTTTTAATAGTGAAGAGTGCAAGTAGCCTCCTGAATACTGAACAGCGTTTGGCACATACAGATTCATTGACACCAGACAGCAGCCTATAGTATAGGCTTTCAATGAGATTTCCAGTCAAAACCGCCAACAACTATCCAGCAAGTCTGTCTGTCTCTTTAGAAAATTCAATAATTACAAATTAAAATAAGTAAAACTGAGAAGATGCTTCCTTATTATTTCAGCCTCAGCTACCCTGTAAAATGGAGCATTTCCAAGACACTGTTGAATTGCTAAACTCCAGTCATTTTATGCCTGAAGAACACTTTTTTAAAAAAATGGCACCAATCACATACCAGTCAGAGTGGGAGGAGATTTCCCACGCTGTATATTTTAAGGTTGTCCACTCTGCCAACCTAAACAGAAATTTACTTGGTACATTTTCCTTTCACTAGTTATATTCCACATCTATAATTGTTTTGCTGGTTAAGTCAGTTTCACAGAACATATTAATCCTATGGAAGTCCTGTGAAGTAGCATTATTTTAGCAAAAAAGCATAGATTGGTTGTCATGGTTGAGACAGCAGGAACCTTCACAAACCTAGACTGGGAAATCTCATTATAGCACTGTCAGCTGGGTCCTAAATCTCACTGACTGCATTAAAAGCAAGGTGCGAAAAAATGTTGGCATCAATGGAAGGGAAAAAACATCAGTCCTGTTTCCCCCTTCAGAACTTTGCTTTGGGTTAGGCTTTTACAACTGGACCCCATGCTCTGATGCACTATATACCACCATGTACTGTGGACTCACTGAATACAGGAAGTTTGACAAAGGTGCTGAAAGTCTCCTAGCATCTCAGTAACTAAAGGAAAGGTTTGGGAGAGTGGCTGCCAGCGTTCTGCTTACACGGACAATTTGGTGACAGCAGTGGCAACCTGGAAATATTTTCGGGCAGACTCTGTGTGTGACTCATTAGAATGCAGAGTCTGACTTCATGGAACCCACCACTGAGTGATAACGGGATCGCAATCGCTTTCTTCCAGTGTGTTGGAACTTTACCACTTGGGCAATGTACCAAAGGGCAGTCAGCATACTGGAACTGTAGTACAGTTGAGTCACTGATTTCAGGCAAAAAAGTTGGGCAGAGGAGAAGAAATTATAACAGTTCAGACTATACTTATGTTTTTATCCTCAATTTTCCAATATTTTTCATAATCTTTTATTAATAATTTTCAGAGAAAAATAAAATGTGTCACTATTACAAGGTACATTTCCTACAGTAGATATCAAGATTCATTGCATGGGGAGACGTACAAGTGGTTGCATAACTTGGTCATATCCAATTTACCATCTAAAATTAGTTCTCAATTGATGGAGACAGAGCTACTCACTAAACCCATGCTGAGAAAAGCTGTACATTCTGGCAAAAATACCAAGTAAGGCAGCTCAAAATTCTATGAATAGTAAAGTAAATACTGATGAAAAACATACTATATTTTGTTTTGTCCACCTGTCTCTGATTTGACTTGTATTAATACAAGTCAAATCAGAGACAGGTGGACAAAACAAAGAGAAAAATGGTAATCAAAAAAGGAACATTGTAGGAGGGAGGGAGTCGTCAATAAGTCATTTTCAAAATAACAAAATCTCCCTTGAAATGTTATTGATGGAAGCTTACTTTGGGGATGACAACAACTTGAACTTATATGGCACCCTCCATATGCAGGGTAGAGCTTCACTCCGAGCCGGGGAGTGTGGGGGGGGGGGGGGGGTGGGGTTGAACGTAAACACGGTTGAAAAGGAAGGTTTTTAGGCGGGACTTGAAAAAGAGGAGAAAGGGGGCAAGGAGGAGGGATTGAGGGAGTGTTTCAGAGTTTCGGGGTATAGTGGCTGAAAGCACGACCTCCAATGGTGGAGCAAAGGGTGGGAGGGACAAGTAGGAAGCCGGTGCCAGTTGAGCGGAGGCGCCAGGTGGTGGATTGGGGAGTGAGGAGGTCGGAACTATAAGGAGGTGCCAGCATGACATCCTTCAGGCTGAGCATATGCTAGTACATGGGAAGTGCTGCTGCTTCCTGCACAGAAAGTGACATTTGGGGCACTTCCTGAACATAGTGCCATACCCAATGTGGGGCTTGAACCAACAACCAGCCAGAAGAAAGAATACTGTCAATTGAGCCAAATTGGCAATAGAGAAACAAGAGTTGCATTAATTTATCTCTACTTGGCGAGCAACCAACCTTACCCCTTCCACCCTTAGGATGGGTGCAAAATTGAGGAAAGTTCCTTCTCAGGTAATGAGGCTAATCCACTGTGATCACAGATCTCATGCAATTGCTCAATATGGCAAGGAACAAACATGGGTATATGAATTAGTTGAAATCAGAAGAATTATTTTATTCACCTGTCATATGGTAAATGATACTCTGCAGCTGTTGCAAATAATACTATAATTGATACCCATTAGTCAATCATCAAGATACAGTAGGCAGCATTTATTTCCAGTTTAAAATACTATAATAATGACTGGAGGAATTAGAATTCAGTTGATGGATAACGAAAGATCCTGTAAACTTTAAAATTAGCTTATAGATTCCTTCTATTTAGCATAGCAAATACAAGAGAAGACAGATCATGTACTAAGAATAGTAAAATTGGCACTTACTATTTTGTGACAAGATACTATATAATCAACTGGAGCTATAACCCTTCTTTTAATCCATTTTTATCATAACAGGTTATAATTTATTTATTTTAGACATTATATCAATATCGAGGGGGAATGTGGGAATAGGGGCATGCAGAAATTCAAATAATCTTAATGTAATTGGCAGAGTGGAGGAGAGAGGCGGTGAACCGGGAAGTGATATGAGAAAAATGAAAAAGGGATTGTGAAAGAACTCAAAAGGTCAAAGACAGATTTGAGGTGTATATATATTAATGCACAAAGCAGTCGAATTAGCATTATCAGAGAACAAACGAAATCCAGGAGAGGACTGGCAGCTAAATATTCACGGGTACCAAATTTTTAGACAAGATAAAGTAGGAAAAAGGGAGGGGGCTGGCAGTACTAATCAAGGATTCTATTGCAGTGCTGGAACACAAGGATGATGGAAGGGTGGGTGAAAACTGAATGTATCTGGGCAGAGGTGAGAAACAAGAAGTATTACTTTGGTGGTCTACATTAAATTCCTAACAAACAGTTAAAATGAGATAGAGGAAAAGATCTGTAGAAAAAACTGGGAGAAGTGCAGAAATAATAGGATCATAATAATTGGGGACTTCAATTATCCTAAAATAGACTGGGACTAAGGCAATCGGAGTGGACAAAAAGGTGCATTTTTTGCTTCCACAATGTTATGCCCAGTCACTTTCTATGCACATTTTAGAGACAAATCAAAACTCTATTACCTTGTCTATTTCTGTTATTATCCAGCCTGGAAGAGCTTCTAAATTCACATGCCAGACATTGCAGACTTTCTGTACAGTGGCTTTCTCAGCAGATTTCTAAAGAACAAACAAATCCACAATTAATACATATTCAGGGTCAAATATTGACCCTCTTTGCAAAATAGCCTGCCAAGATTTTATGCTGAGACTCACACATGAAGAATACAATAACAACAACAACTTGCATTTATACAGTGCTCTTTATGTAGGATATGTATCAGAATGGCAGAGTTGGACGTCAATTGTCTTTTGAAAGTCTAAGCATACTATGTCATATGGCTTCCCACAGTGACCTTGGGACGTCATCTCCTCAAAAACGTCTGAGGTTAGTCAGTCAACATCTACCTATCACTTCTGAATCCATTTTAGTTATCATTTATTAGATTATTTTTAGAAAGATAATCTATTTTCTTCCTGATGGTTAACTCCATTAGTTTGGTTTCCAATTATTGAGGTCATAACGTCTGCCAATGTTTCACAAATCATCCGTCTTGTCTCTCTAAGTACCCTGGGGTACAGTTCATCCATCCCTGGGGATTCCACACCTGAAGCAAAGGCGTTTTTAGTTTGAAGAGCTTTTCCACACAGGGAAAAAGCTCACCTCTCAAATTACCTTCTGAATTTCGTTTTGCTGGTGCTGTGGAGTCCTGTAGCTCAGTGGTTAGAGCACTCGCCTCGCAAGCGAGAGACCTGGGTTCGATTCCGGGCAGGGCGAAACGTTGGGCAAGTTTCCTTATTCCACACATCTGTTTACCTAGCAATAAGTAGGAACCTGGTTGTTAGTCGATTGGCAGATGGCTTTTCTGGGGTTCATAATTCCTTAAAAAAAAATTGGTTACTCAATCCACGACTGTTTGTGCGACACTTCGGTGCGCAATTGGCTGTTGTGTTTCGCCCACAAAATATACAGTTAATTCACTTTACAGTATATTCTGTGAAGTGCTTTGAGACGTCTCAAAGACTTGATAAGGTGCTACATCAAATGCAAGGATTATTATTATTAGGATGATTATGTGTTGCTGAATCACTAAACTTGAATCATACTTGTACTGTTGATGGCAGTTCACCATGGGAAGATGCCAAACTATTGGCATCCAGTACAAATCTTCGACATTTCCAGCACCGTAAACTCCCCTCCATTATTACCATCACATGCTCATTTGTCTGCAAGAGAACAAAAAAAAACTAAGTTATAGAGTAATTATCATTATGGAAGAAATTATATTTTTGTAGCATCTTGTGCATAATGATCAAATTCAAACTAACAAGTGGAAAACTGTAACCTGAATAATATATGTAACTATTTTGAGGATATATTATAGATTATTTTGTGGATTAGCTATGTGAAATAAAATCTAATGTTCTAAACTCATTCCCCAGGAGCCAGGTTATCTAGAAGAGTAGAATTTTAGCCCATGTTTTGGCTAAATCCGCTCCAGAGGTTGAAGCTGGATGAGACTTAAACCGAGGGTCCCCTCTGCCTGTCTAGGTGGATGTTAAAGAACCTATGGCACTATTCAAAAAGAGAAGGAAGTTTCTCCTAAGTGTTCTGGTCACCAATCTCCCAAGTAAAATTGGCATTCACTTCACGGTTGTTTGTGGGGCATTGCTGGTTGCAAATTGGCTGCCACATTCGCCTACAAAATACATAGTCACTACACTTTACAGTATATCCTGTGAAGAGCTTTGAGACATCCTTCCTATGTGAAAGGAGCAATATAAATGTCAGGATTATTATTATTTAAAGTGAAAGCAATACTTACGCAGATAACCGCAGTAGCAACCTTTATTTAAAACAGCTTTGATTTAAATTGTGTCTGTGTTTATGAAACTTGTGACACATCAATTGAAAAAAGATCATACTGAGATGGTGGTGGCAGTTATTGACTTTGAACCAGTGGAGTTCTGTAGATCAGTGGTTAGAGAACTCATCTCACAGGCGAGAGGACCTGGTTTGATTCCCGTCAAGACGAAAAGCTGGCCAAGTTTCCTTACTCCACACACCACTGTTCACCTAGCAGTAAGTAGGAACCCGGCTGTTAGACGATTGGGGGATCACTCTACCTGGGATAATAACCCTTCCAAAAAGAAATAATAATTCAGTCACTCAATCCACGACTGTTTGTGGGACACTGCTGTGCGCAATTGGATGCTGCGTTTCGATCACAAAATATACAGTCAATTCACTTTACAGTATATTCTGTGAAGCCCTTTGAGACTTCTGGAAGATGAGATAAGGCGCTATATCAAATGCAAGGATTATTATTATTATTATTATTACACTCCTACCTTCTGGTGGTTTGAAGGGCTAGACTATGGTATAGAATCATAGAATCATACGGCACAGAAAGAGGCCATTCGGCCCATCGCGTCTGCGCCGGCTCCTAAAAGAGCAATCCAACTCAATCCCACTGGGCCGCTTTCTCTCCATAACCCTGTAATCCTGTCCTCCCCAGATACTCATCTACTTCTCTCTTAAAAGTTGTTATTGAATCGGCTTTCACTACCCTTTCAGGTAATGCATTCCAGATATGAACAACTCCCTGGGTGAAAATTTTTTTCCTAACCTCGCCTGTTTCTTTTAACAACTATCTTAAATCGGTGTCCTCGGGTTACTGACCCACCCGCCAGTGGAAACAGATTTTCCTGGTTCAACCTATCAAATCCTTTCATGATCTTGAAAACCTTTATTAAATCCCCTCTTAATCTTCTCTGCTCCAGGGAGAATAATCCTAGTTTCGCTAACCTCTCCTCATAACTAAGGTCCTTCATTCCTGGTACCATCCTGGTAAACCTCCTTTACACCCTCTCCAACGCCCTAACATCTTTCCTAAAGTGCGGTGCCCAGAACTGAACGCAGTACTACAACTGAGGCCTAACCAGCATTTTATAAATATTCAACATCACCTCCTGACTTTTGAATTCTATGCCTCTATTTATAAAACCTAGTATCCCATATGCTTTTTTAACAGCTTTGTCTACCTGTCCTGCCACCTGCAGAGATTTGCTTATGTGGACCCCCAGGTCTCTCTGTTCATTTGCCCCCTTTAAGATTGTACCATCATCTTATACTGTCGCTCCTCATTCTTCCTACCGAAATGCAACACTTCGCATTTCTCCACATTAAACATCATCTGCCAACGTTTCTGCCCATCTTACCAATCTGTCGAAGTCCTCTTGGGAGTCTGGTGCTATCCCCCTCACTATTAACTACTTTTCGTAGCTTAGTATCGTCTGCAAATTTGGAAATTGTGCTCCCCATATCCAGGTCCGGTTCATTAATATAGACCAGAAAGAGCAGTGGTCCCAATACCGACCCCTGAGGGACACCACCGCTACACACCTCCCTCTCGGTTAGTATTCCCGATACTAAGACACAGCACCGCGTGGTTGAGATTGTGGGGGTGGGGGGAACAAGAGAGAGAGGTGACCCGTCCCGGAGATCACGGAAGGAAACTTGTTGCTGCTCCTGGAGGAAAGCCACACTGACCGCGCGCGCACTCGCACTCGCAGGACAGGGGACCCGGGTACATGCTCAGGCCCCTCGCCACGTGGTCTGGACGGATGTCCTGTTGCGGTACTGTGGTGATGTACATGTAAATGTAAATGGGTTGAGGGGGGGGGCGGGGGGGGGGGGGGGGAGAGGGCAAACCCTGAGTCAACTCAACCTGTGGATCTGACCCACAAGGTGCCTCATCCTTCTTGATCACTCTATCCTCCTTCACCACCTCTCTCACCTCAACCTTCATTGGAGTCCTGTAGCTCAGTGGTTAGAGCACTCGCTTTGCAAGCGAGAGACCTGAGTTCAATTCCAGGCAGAGGGCGAAACCTTGGGCAAGTTTCCTTACTCCACACAGAGCCTAATAATAATCCCTCCAAAACCAAAAAAAAATAATAAATTGGTCATTTTCAATCTACGACTGTTTGTGGGACATTGCTGTGCGCAATTGGCTGCCGCGTTCGCCCACAAATATACAGTCAATTCACTTTACAGTGTGTTCTGTGAAGCGCTTTGGGACGTCCTCCCGACGTGAAAAGCGCTATATCAAATGCAAGGATTATTATTATTATTATTATTATTATGGTGGCGGCTTCACGCCCAATTGGGCGGGTTTGTCTTGAACTGCGCGGGTTCGGGCGGGCGCCTCATCTTTTTTTTAAATTTTTTTGAAAAAAAAACGGTTGCAGTCAAACCTGCCCACACGTCGCATTTTTTTCCCCCCCTTTTCATCCCCATTTGAAGACCTTTTTCTCGCAGAGTTTACAAACTCCACTGAAACCTGACCCCGGACACCGGGGCGGCCCCGAATGTAAACAGCCGACGCACCGGGTCGGGTTGGGCTGTTTTTTGGGCGGGTGTTTGGGGTGACTTTGGGCTACAGACGGCCTTGTGGTGAGTGTCGACACCACAAACTGCCGCCCAACCCCCTGCCCCCCGGGCCCGGCCCGGCCCGGCCCGGCCCCCACACCCCCTACACCGGCCGGTCTGCCGACTCGAGCCCCCGGGCCTCCGCGCTCGCCCCCCGCGGCCTCGGCCTCTCCTCTCCTCTCCTTACCCGGTGCGGGGCCCCGCGGGGGGGAGGGGGGGGGACGGCTGCTCCTCACCGCGGCTTCTCGGGACCGGGACCAGCGGTTTAAGAGGAGAAGATGGTGACTCCTCCGCCTCCGCCTCCGGAACAACCCCGACCTGCGGCCGTCTGTCTGTCTGTCTGTGTGTATGTGTCTGTCTGTCTGTGAGTGTCTGTCAGTCTGTGTGTGTCAGTCTGTGAGTGTCTGTCAGTCTGTGAGTGTCTATCAGTCTGTGTGTGAGTGTCTGTCAGTCTGTGTGTGAATGTCTGTCAGTCTGTGTGTGTCTGTCAGTCTGTGCGTGTCTGTCAGTCTGTATATGTCTGTGAGTGTCTGTCAGTCTGTGTGTGTCTGTCAGTCTGTGTGTGTCTGTCAGTCTGTATATGTCTGTGAGTGTCTGTCAGTCTGTGTGTGTCTGTCAGTCTGTGTGTGTCTGTCAGTCTGTGTGTATCTGTCAGTCTGTGTGTGTCTGTCAGTCTGTGTGTATCTGTCAGTCTGTGTGTGTCTGTCAGTCTGTCTGTGTGTATGTCTGTCAGTCTGTGTGTGTCTGTCAGTGTGTGTGTGTCTGTCAGTCTGTGTGTGTCTGTCAGTCTGTATATGTCTGTGAGTGTCTGTCAGTCTGTATATGTCTGTCAGTCTGTGAGTGTCTGTCAGTCTGTGTGTGTGTGTCTGTCAGTCTGTGTGTGTCAGTCTGTGAGTGTCTGTCAGTCTGCGTGTTGTCTGTCAGTCTGTGTGTATGTGTCTGTCAGTCTGTGTGTATGTGTCTGTCAGTCTGTGTGTATGTGTCTGTCAGTCTGTGTGTGTCTGTCAGTCTGTGTATGTCTGTCAGTCTGTGTATGTCTGTCAGTCTGTGTCTGTCTGTGTGTATGTCTGTCAGTCTGTGAGTGTCTGTCAGTCTGTGTGTGTGTGTCAGTCTGTGAGTGTCTGTCAGTCTGTGAGTGTCTGTCAGTCTGTGAGTGTCTATCAGTCTGTGTGTGTCTGTCAGTCTGTGTGTGTCTGTCAGTCTGTGCGTGTCTGTCAGTCTGTGTGTGTGTGTCAGTCTGTGTGTGTCTGTCAGTCTGTATATGTCTGTGAGTGTCTGTCAGTCTGTGTTTGTCTGTGTGTATGTCTGTCAGTATGTCTATGTGTATGTCTGTCAGTCTGTGTGTATCTGTCAGTCTGTGTGTGTCTGTCAGTCTGTGTGTGTGTGTCAGTCTATGTCTGTCTGTCAGTCTGTCTGTGTGTATGTCTGTCAGTCTGTCTGAGTGTATGTCTGTCAGTCTGTGTGTGTCTGTCAGTCTGTATATGTCTGTGAGTGTCTGTCAGTCTGTGTGTGTCTGTCAGTCTGTATATGTCTGTCAATCTGTGAGTGTCTGTCAGTCTGTGTGTGTGTGTATATCTGTCAGTCTGTGTGTGTGTGTGTGTATGTCTGTCAGTCTGTGTGTGTCTGTCAGTCTGTCTGTGTTGTGTCAGTCTGTCTGTGTGTGTGTGTGTGTGTGTCTGTCAGTATCTGTGTGTGTCTGTCTGTATGTCTGTCAATCTGTGTGTGTCTGTGTGTATGTCTGTGTGTGTGTCTGTCAGTCTGTCTATGTATGTCTGTCAGTCTGTGTCTGTGTGTCTGTCTGTCTATCTGTGTCTGTCTGTGTGTGTCTGTTTGTCTGTCTGTCTGTGTGTGTCTGTCTGTCAGTCTGTCTGTGTGTGACTGTCTGTGTGTGTCTCAGTTTGTCTATGTGTGTCTGTCTATCTGTGTCTGTGTGTGTGTGTGTGTGTGTGTTTGTCTGTCTGTGTGTGTGTCTGTGAGTCTGTCTATGTCTCTGTCTGCTGTCTCACTCCCTATATGTCAGCTGTCAATCCTCCAGGATGTCTGCCTGTTCCGTCACACACATATTATTATAACCCTGCCTTTTGATATCACCCCCACAACACAGGATCTGACAGGTAATTGCTTGCAAGTGTAGTGGCTGTGCTACTGTAGGCAGCCACCTTATCCATACCAAAGCCACACAAAGCCGTGAAGTGAATAACCAATTGATCTGGAGGATTGTTGTCTAGTACAGTACTCACTTCACTTTATGAAGAGCGTTGTGGCATCTTTAACTTCCAGCCGAACAGGCAGATGTGTCTTTGTTTAATGTCTCATACACCGGATACGACCTTCGACAATGCAGCTCGTATTTGAGAATATCAACCGAGACTGAGCTAAAAGTCCCAACGTGTGGCTTGACCATGTAAAAGTCTGACTCAAAAGCAAAAGTACCATCAATTGAACCAAGTGGGCATGCTTGTGACGTAATATACAAATTCTTACTACTTTTCAGCTGCAATTATAGTTTGCCTCATAGAACCTAAGGGAACCCTCAAAATAAATATTTGTACTCATGAGACACTCAATTAATAGCCTCCCTGGTTAATGCTAATAATTAACTCAAATATGAAGTAACTAGACAACTAGAATACTTATTTTTTTCATCATTGCAACACATAGTGCATTACACGATGATTTTTAACATAATGCTCAACTTTAATGAGGGGAAACGCTTTAATAATAATAATATTATTAGTGCAGTCTTGTAGCTCAGTGTTTAGAGCACCCACCTCGCAAACGAGAGACCTGGGTTTGATTCCAGGCAGGGTAAAACCTTGGGCAAGTTTCCTTACTCCACACACCTGATAATAATTCCTCAAGAAAAAAAACAAAAATACATTGGTCACTTCAATTCACGATTGTTTGTGGGACTCTGCTGTGCACAATTGGCTGCCGCATTTCGCCCACAAATATACAGTCAATTCACTTTATATTCTCTGAAGCATTTTGAGACGTCTAGAAGACGTTAAAAGCATTATATCAAATGCAAAGATTATTATTATTATACTTGCATTTCATATAGAGCCTATAATGTTGAAATGTCTCAAAATTGCTTTACAGGTAATTACTGTCAAGTGTAGTAACTGTGTTGGTAGGCAAATGGAGCAGCATTTATGCACAGCACCATGTTAAGCTGGATTTTAGTAGTTAGGAGAGAAGTTTTGAAGCACCAATGAAACACGTTTTGTATAGTGACGTACATTTTTATATAGTGTATAGCCTGCTCTTGCAGACTCAGAGGATACAGAAGGCAGAAAACTGAGCCACGGAGGAAGAAGGTCTTTTAGCCTCGGCTGGATAGAGAAGAAGAGGATGAATGGAAAGGGAAATGAGGATGCATGTTGTAATAATTGCAGTAGTATGGGAATCCTGGAGGTAAGGAATGGGCATTGGCATCTTGGAGAAATAGAACAGATCTCAGTGTCATGTAGTGTACAGAGCTATTTCAGTGACAATGATATGAAAATCTTGGAGACAGGTAGAAGCAAGGCAGACACTTTGCAGGACGAAAGGGTAAGGGGGCGGAGGGGGGGGGGGGCTAGTTGGATAGCTCTTTCAAAGAGCTGGCACAGGCATAATGGGTCGAATGGCCTCCTGTGCTGTAAGATTCTATGATTCCAAATGAACCATGTTCTCATGTATTGCCTTGCCTGAGGTTCACTATTTTATACTCTTATACTCTGGTTTAATACTCATACTGAAACCTAAATAATTCTATTATCCATTCATTTTAATCATCCCTTATTCCAATACAAACAAACAGGTTTGCCTACAGATGCACAATCACTACCCTTTTCCAATAAAATTTTAGACATTTGCACAACATGAAAATGTTCTATATCAAATGCAAGGATTATTATTATAAATTGAGTTCTATGATTTAACTTTCTTAATATCCAACGCTTGGTATCCACCTTGATTAGTTTGCAGAGAAGTAAGCAGCTGCTGCTCAAGCTCCACACCCCCAACTGGTGGAACTATTACTCAGGGGAAGGGGTGTGTGTCTGAGCCGTGGGAAGGAAGATGCTGCCAATTCTCTCGTGCATTTCATGTTGAGCTGTGTTCACCAGGAAGCTCGCAGGGAGTTTCTGGTATCTGCGATCCACCTAATGAGTGCTCAATCTTGTGCTTATCGGATATCAAATATTAACTTGCTAGGAGTCTAGCAGGAGTCTACAGGCAAGCCTGGGGTTTTGGCCTATGGAAACAGTAACAAATTGTATTTTGTAATTTATTTATTAGTTTATTAAAACTAGTTTGATTTATGGGTTTGTGTATGTATTGTATTTTTGTATACACGTATGTGTACACTTCTGGCCCCTCAACATAAGGGGTCCTCCCAGGCCCAATGACAGTTCAGAGGGGAGCACCAAGGATGATTTCCATGAGCCACAGTTAGACAAATTAGGACTCCAGTCTTGAAAGAAGACCTTATGGAAACTGTTTCATGTAAATTACCAGGAAATTAAGGAGTTCTTTGTCCTTGAAACATCCAGTAAAATTGTTAAAAATTGTGAACCATGGCATTCCCTGAATACAATAAAAGTAATGAATTGGTTGCTTCAATCCACGACTGTTTGTGGGATACTGCTGTGCGCAATTGTCTGCTGCGTTTCGCCCACAAAATATACGGTCAATTCACTTTACAGTATATTCAGGGCGAAACCTTGGGCAAGTTTCCTTACTTCACACGCCTAATAATAATCCCTCCAAAACAATAATAAGTTGGTCATTTTCAATCTACGACTGTTTGTGGGACACTGCTGTGCGCAATTGGCTGCCGCGTTTCGCCCACAAGTATACAGTCAATTCACTTTAAAGTCTGTTCTGTGAAGCGCTTTGAGATGTCGAGAAGACGTGAAAAGCGCTATATCAAATGCAAGGATTATTATTATTATATTCTGTGAAGCACTTTGAGGTCTCAAAGACGTGATAAAGTGCTATATCAAATGGAGGGTTATTATTTATATTATTACAGGAAGGTGATGATTTCCTGTCTACGCTGAGACAGTTAATCTCAGTTGTAGTGGTATCACAATTGACCTCAGTGCTCCACCTAGGGAAAGAAAGATGAACCATTGCTGGAACATCAATGTGGGTTCTTAGCCAAAAATAACACAACAAAATCTCCCTGGTCTATCCCACCAAACCTGTGCACAACCAAGGCATGCAGTTTGGTCCCCACCTGTCTTTACTACTCTACATCCAGTCCCTGACCAGGACCTCTTCTCCTACTTCTTCACATCACCCACCTCTGACCATACCTCATACTCAATGCTGCTAAAACCCTTATCCATGCTTTCGTCACCTCTGCTTCCATTTCTCCAAAGTACTCCTCGCCGGTATCCCCAGCTCCACCATTCACAAAGTTCGATTTTTCAAAATTCTGCTGCCAACAGAATCATATCCTCACTGAAACAAACTCACATCATGCCAGTCTTTGTCAGGCTCCATTGGCTCCCTACCGCAGAATGGATTGATTTCAAGATCCTCACACTTATCTACAAACCACTTCATGTCCTAGTACCTCTCCATTTCTCCAACCTGCTCACACCTCACTCCTACCCACCTCCCTTGCTTAACCGGCTTGGGCCTTCCGTGAGTCACTCAACCCCTCTGCTTCACTATCTATGGCTGGGCCTTCAGTCGCTAAGCCCCAAACCTCTGGAACTCCCGGCCTCAATCTCTTCACCTTGGCCCCTCTTTGTCATCTTCAGATTGCACCTTTCTCGTTGACCTTACCTCCCCTTTCTCCCAGGTATCAAACTACGCCACAGTTCAGTGCTTTTAAAGATGAGTTCTGCCAGTTTATCTGTAAATCTGTCTCCCTTTACATAATAAGCAGTCTGAGACTGAACAATCCAAATTAAGCTTCAATTAGCTTAGCTCAATATATGATTTTACCCTCTATACATTTCTTTGAAATGAAGGCATCTGTACTGGAGATTGGGAGATACTATATACTGTGCATGAGTTTCTCACCTACCGTCTGGATTACTCAAACACATTCCTCACCGGTCTCCCCAGCTCCACTATACAAAAAATTCAGCTCATTCAAAACTCTGCCGCCCGCATACTGACCCGGATCAAACTCCGTACCCACATCTCACCAGTTCTGGCCAGGCTCCACTGGCTTCCCATCACCGAATGGATCGACTTCAAGATCCTCACTCTTGTGTTCAAATCCATTCACTCTCTGGCGTCTCCCTACCTCACCGACCTCCTCACTCCCCAATCCACCACCCGGCACCTCCGCTCGACTGGTACTGGCTTCCTGCTCATCCCTCGCACCCTGCACCTCACCATTGGAGGTTGTGCTTTCAGCCACTACGCGCCAAAGCTCTGGAACACTCCCTCAAGCCCTCCACCTTACCCGCTCCCCTTTTTCAAGTCCCACCTGAAAAGCTTCCTCTTCGACCATGTTTACTGCCACCTCCCCCCCACCCCCAGCTTGGAGTCAGGCTCCGCCACTGTTAAACACTCTGAGACGCTACACTGCGCGGAGGGCGTTATATAAGTGCAAGCTGTTGTTGTTGCTGTAGTAGTGCTCTGTGTTCCTTTTTCCAACATTTTCATTTTTCAATCAAGAAGTTTAATATCTGCTCTCTTTTGGTCTCAATATATGATTTTACCCTCAGATTGTGCTCTATTTGCACACATCTCAGACAGAGCTATCTTATCTTAAACATTGACCTGCATGATCAAATCATCCCACATCTTGGCACATTCTGGATCCTATAGAAGCACAGTATTCAGGCGCCACCTGGAGGCATTAATGTGTGGATATAAATCTAAATTCAGGGAACAATTGGCATTGGGGGCAAAATCTGTAACCATTTATAATAGGATTACTCAGGTGATGGATTGGGGAGTGAGGAAGTCGGAGAGATAAGGAGGTGCCAGAGAGTAAATCGATTTGAACATGAGAATGAGGATCTTGAAGTCGATCCATTCAGTGATGGGGAGCCAGTGGACCCTGGCCAGAACTGTTGAGATGTGAGTATGGAGTTTGGTCTGGGTTAGTATGCCTGCAGCAGAGTTTTGAATGAGCTGGATCTTTTGAATAGTGGAGCTGGGGAGACCGGCGAGGAGTGCGTTGGAGTAATCCAAGTGGGAGGTGACAAATGCATGCACAAGGGTTTCGGCTACATTTGAGGTAAGGTATGGTCAGAGGCGGACAATGTGGTGGAGGTAGAAGAAGGCAGTCCTGGTCAGGGGCTGGATGAGGGGGAGGAAGGACAGCTGGGGTTCGAACTGGTTGCCTAGGTTGTGCACTGGTTCGGTGAGTCTGAGGGAGAGCCCAGGGAGATTGAAGAGTTTAGATCCGCAGGAGTGAAGACGTTGACGGGAGCCAAGGAGTATGGCTTCCATCTTGTGCATATTCAACTGCAGGAAGTTTACACTCATCCAGGCCTTGATGTCTGCCAGACAAACAGATAGAGCAGCGACGGACCTGGAGTCGATGCTGGAGGAGGCAAAGTAGATTTGTGTGTTATCCGCATACATGTGGAAGTTTATCTAATGTCTGCGGATGACATCGCCCAGAGGGAGCATATAGATAAGGAAAAAAAGAGGGACAAGGATGGAGCCCTGGGTACCCCGGAGGTGACCTGGCAGGGGTGGGAGGAGAAACTGTTTACTGAGATGAAATGGAGGCGGTTGGTTAAGTAGGATTCAAACCGTGCGAGTGCAGTCCCACTAAGGTGGATGAGGGAGGAGAGGTGGTGGAGGAGGATGGCATGGTCGACTGTGTCGAACACGGCAGAGAGATCCAGGAGGATGAGGAGGCAGAGGGAGCCCTGGTCACGGATAGAGAGGATATTATTTGTGACTTTGACAAGCGCTGTCTCTGTGCTGTGGACGGGGAAAACCAGACAGCAGAAGCTCGAGGAGGGAGTGGAGAGAGAGGCCGAAGTTGACCTGCAACAATGCGTTACAGGACTTTGGCAAGGAAGGGTAGGTTGGAGATGGGACCATAGTGTGAAAGATTAGCGGGATCGGTGTGATAACAGCAGTTTTCAGGGGGTGTGGAACAGAGCCTGAGGAGAGAGACTGGTTGACTGTGTCGGCCAGCAGAGGGGAGAGGAGGGGAGTTGAGTGACCAGCAGCTGGGTGTGGGGAGGGGAGAGGCAGCAGGTGGTGAACTTCAACCGGGTGATTGTGGTTGAGAGGGAGGAGGGAGAAATGGGGGCAAAGGAGTGTGAGGAGGGAGGAGTGGCAGGAGCCGTGGCAGAGGGAGAAGGCAGTGTGGATGGTCTGGGTGGGGTATATTAGACTTCTTTCTGAGAGATTCATGCTACTGTACCTATTTCAGTATTAAGTAATGAGTCTATGACCTTCTAACTAGAATGAGATAATCTTTCTTTTAAATGGATGTTTTTGGGGGGAGATGGTGTGCCTCTCCCTTTTATGTGCACAAAGGTCCATTGGTTTACCAAACCACCATCCCATTGACCACACTTCATAATTTAGAGGGAGCTAAAGGGCATACGTTTAAAATTATAAAATCTTCAGACAGAAACGAATGTATGGAACAGCTTCCCAACAAAAATAATATCATGGAATCTTTAATACCAAAGGACATGCAGGCACCACATTGGTTTAACTACCAACGATTGCGCAAATGCTCCTTCAATACTGTGTTGGAGTGTCAGCTTACAGAAGCTTATGAGCTCAAATCCAGACATGGGCTTGAGCCCAAAATTGTCTTTGATTTAAATGGCAAGGATCCTGCCAGCTGAGTCAAGCTGACAAATATCTTGGAAGATATATTTTCTGAACAGGACTGATATATTTCTATTTCTGGTACTGAAGGTGGATCTTATTACTTTCCTCGTTGAGTCTTAGCTTTATATTTTCCTGCTGCTAGTTTCTCAGAAACATGAATTTTTACCATGTCACCTGAAGCCATTTTGTACCTTTTTTCTTTTCGTGTTCTTGAAGATAATCTCCAATTTATTTGCAGATATCAAAATTAATTGCATATTAGCTCACTTAGAGAAAATGAAGATACCATTGATTGATCTTGAATAACTGGCCTTGGTAAAGGTGATAAAATATAATTAGGTGTAAGCCTGGCTCAGTTGGTAGCACTCTCACCGACGAGTTAAAGTGAGGTGACTGTGTAAACTGTATATTTTGTAGGTAAGTGTACTATAGGTCCTTGGTTTAAAATCTCATTCAAAGGAAAGCACATCAAACAACGAAGCACACCCCCATATCAGGGCATTTTGAACTCATAGATTAGGCTGACACTCCAGTGCAGTTCTGGTGATTGCTGCATGGTTGCAGGCGCTGTCATTCAAATTAAATGTTAAACCAAGGTCCCATGGCAATATTCAAAAAGAGAGGGAAATTTCTCCAAGTATCGGGCCAATAAACCCCAGATAAAATGTGCCATTTACTGTATGCAAATTGGCTGTATTGTTTGCCTGCAAAATATATAGTCACTAAACTTTATAGTAAATCCTGTGAAGTGTTTTGAGATGTGAAAGGAAATATATCAAATGTAAGGATTATTATTATAATATTTCTGCTAAAACACGCTGTGGAGCCATCTTATATTGTAAAGAATATGCATTCAACCTAGTTCTTCTGAAAGGAAATCTGGAATGTATCATTGGCTAAAAGATAAGATATTCACCCACAAAATATACAGTGAATTCACTTTATAGTATGTTCTGTGAAGTGCTTTAAGAAGTCTCGAAGACGTGATAAGGTGCTATATCAAATGCAAGGACTATTATTATATGTGCTGGTTTCTTTTTTATGAAACAACATATAGTTTGAACAGCAAAGAGCACTTTTGAACAGCAAAGCGCATGAATGCCTTTATCCTTTCAGTCTGAGTTTACAGGTGTTTTCTTCTTTTATAAATGTTTCCTTTGGTACATCCATGAAGGGGTCACATACCACCTGTAGATGAAAAGAAGGTGCAACACCAGTTCCTGGACCTCTTGTACTGCTTCTCTAAACCACCAGGAGGTGCGCGAGATCTACCAGGCGAAGGCTGATCTGATCATTTTTCCTGCCTTTCTCCAGTCACCTTGGCTTTGTTCATCGTCTACTCGCACAAGCAACATTGTCGAATGAAAGCCACTTCTTGGATTCACACTATGTTACTCCATGAGGCTATGCCACCAGAACACTCCTATTCATTAACTTAATCATTTTTTTGTGGTAGTGCGTTCTGTTTGCATACCCACCTTTCTCTAAATAGTGATTTCCTAATCAAAGTTGTGTCATTGTGGCCAGGTAAGAAGCAAAAAATAGGCAATTTGCCACATGATGAGTGAGA